TCTGGATTTTGAAGGTGCAGAAACTCCGCCCTGACTGGGGCCTCTCCCGGTTCGCCATTTTTCTTCCAGAGTGTCCACGTGCTACTTGACAACTGGGGGTTCCAACCTGGTTCCGACGTCAGACTAGCTACATACCACCTCTGCCCGCTGTGCTCCACTCCTTCACTGGGGATCCAGGCATTCTGTTGCCAATAACAGAAAAGACCTGACTTTTTTTTTTGTTTTGGAGAGGCTTTTGCTATAGGGTGTGTGTGCTCACCAGGAAGACAGAGAGAGAGACAGAAAGCAAGAAATCATCACCCAAGGGGGATGATCACACTGCAATCCCTTCTCCTTCATTCATCCCCTCTTGGGATCTTGGGTACTCACGCACACGCGCCTGGTGTGAGTTTAAGCCACCAGGTCCAGGACTTGAACCACAGTTGACTACATGGGAGTCCAGAGATGTAGCCATAACGCCTTCTGCTGGTCCCGATTTTTTTTTTAAGAGAGATGTTTGCTATAGAATGCGTGTGCTTGCTGGATAGACAGAGACAGAGAGACAGAAAGTGAGAAATCACCCTCCAGGGGGAATGGCCATGCTGCAATCCCTTCTCCTCTATGCTCCTCTTGGGATCTTGGGCACGCACACACATTTCCAGCGTGAGTTTTATTTAAAAAAATTATTTATTCAATTTCATTTGTTATTATTATTTTTAAAATTCGACCAAAGACAGAGAGAGAGAAAGAGAGAGGAAGAAAGCAAGCTGCCAGGTCTGGGACTCAAACCACATTGGCCATGTGGGAATCCAGCACCTTTAGCCATCATACCACCTGCTGACCCCCCTAGCATGAGTTTTAAGCTGCTGGGTCCAGGACTTGAACTGAAGTTGACTATGTGGGAGTCCAGCGACGTAACAATTACGCCATCTGCAGGTCCCATGAGTTTGGGTGATTTAAGAGAGCTGAGTTTTATTCAGGTCACTGGAAGTCTGAGAGCCAGGGGCCATGTCTGGTGGAGGTCTAGCAAAGTCCTCAGGTAGGGCACCAGAGGGCCGAAGCAGAGCAGGGGGGCTGTGTCCGTACGTCTCTGTTCTAGTCTCATTCCCCCTCCTCAGAAGCCCACCAGGACCAGTCATAGGGCCCCACTCTCGTCATTTTTGCTCCCAAAGACCCCACCGTTCCACAGCATGAAGATACTACCTTTCCTCCTAACGCCCTCACAGCTGAATCTGGACACGTCACTTTCTGGGGCACACACACCTGACATGTGCACCTGGACACCAGCACCTCTGTCAGGTGTGCGCTTGCCTGGCTTTCTGTCAGGGTCGTGAGACCTCCCCCCCCCACTTCAGTATCTCTGATTCCCCCAGCGCCTTGCACATGGTGTACATGGAGCTCGAACATAGGGCATGTGGTTATTTCAAACATCCTCCCCATCCAGTAACCTGTAGCTCACAACTATTTACTGCAGAGGTGGGTTGAGTTAGAAAAAAAACATTTATCTTCTCAGTGTCTGTCCAAAAAAATCAACAATTCTTACCTAGTGCTCGGAGAAGCGGTGAAGGCCTGGACTCGAGAGCCACCCCGTGAAATGCCAGTTCTATCCCTTGGTACCTGGGGGACCTCGGGGAGCTGGGTGACAGCTTCCTCCCTTGTAAATGGGGATGATGGCAGTCCTACTTCACAGGACTGCTGGGTACACGGATGAGCTCAGAACAGTGCGGGGCACGACGGTAAGTGTGCCGCGTTAGCTGTTCTCGGGATCATCCTACCACACAGGTCCTGGAAGCACCAGGTCCTGGAAGGAGCCCAGGCGGCCGCGTGGGTCCAGGCAGTGCACCTGTCGCCCGGATGCAGTAAAAGCCTTTCCTGCCGTCAGGACGTGGCCTTGGAGATTTACCTGTTTCTCTGCCACCCCTTTCCTTTACCCCCTCGGAGGAACTCAGGATCTTGGACGCGGAAAGGAGAACGGAGTCGACTTCATCCTCTTCCTCTGGATGGCTGGCTGTAACAGAACCGATCAGGGCTTTGGGCGGGGCTGGGAGGGGCGCACCGAGCCTCGGCGGCTGGGGCGCGGCGTGGCGAGG